TTGGTTTATGAACCTTGGTGTTAGGGTGAGTGTATGGGTACAGTGGCGGTTTCCCTCTTATCAGAGATAATTTTCTAGTTGCTCTAGTGTGTAATGTATGCTGAGGAAGCTGCTGTGCAGGTCCTGATCCAGCAAACTTAGAGGAATGAGATGGGATATGTGGCCGAAATGGTGGCTTAAGGTGGTTTGGGAGAGGGTTCCGGGCAGAGGGTATCATGCTTAAGGACTAAGGAGTATTGGTGTAAAAGATTGCTAGGTAATGTACCCTTGTCAAAGGCATTTGCATAGAAAATCTTGTTAAACTTTTTTTCTTCTTACTATATGTTGAAGCAGAAATTAGCACGACCCGGGACGACACCGTTTTCCTATAAAGAAGAGGGAAGAAGATCGATGAATTTTGACCGACACAAGTGTGGTGCCTACCTAGAGCTCTATGACGTTCAAGTCAGTCACCGAAAGTCTAAAATAAAGACAGGGATTTAATATGTCGTTTTTATCATACCTATTCAGTTGGTGAGAGTTTGTACTTAAAGCGATACCGGTAGAACTGTTGCCATTTGTTTGATGATATTAGGAGATTTCGACGTATTTCGAATTTGATCTCCTGTTATCCGTTAGTCATAACCACATTTGATTTCAAACTGGTCAAATGTAGTTGGACTTCCTTATTTGGTCAGTCTGTTGAGCGATCATATTTCAATTCTCCTTATCATTATATACTATTGATTTTATATTTTTTGTAATGTATACCCCTAAAATTTTAGAATTGCCTCTACTGAAATTATTGAAAAATCCTACTATTGTCCTCACAAATTTTTTTTTTATATAATCATTTGTTAAAGATTGCCCCCACTCGCATAGTTTTCTATGTCCATCTAGATTCTTCTTCACAGAAATCCATAGATACCAGAGTCATTTGATTCATGATTTCATTATTAAATAGTGCACAAGTAAAAACCGAGTTAATCAAAATCAACTTGAATTTATTGTTCATAGATTAAATTTAGGGAAAAAAATTAAATGAATAACATAATTAATTAGTCGACCACTCTGTGTTTTTTGACTTCTTGTGCCATTTTCATCTCTTTTGAACAGTAGGGAGCAGTTTTTATGAATATATATATATATATATATATACACACACATTTGTTATACATGAAATAAGTTTTCGTCAGTCAACCATTTGGATTGACCTAGTTAGAAAAGACTTGGGTTTTGGTGCCTAATGAAATATCATGTTTCAGAATCGATTTTTTTTAGATGCAAACAATTTTTAGAAACCACACCTACAAACACAATCTGAACGTTACTTGATTCGTGTGAGAACACCTTACAAAGTTCTCTTGAATTAATTGAAGCAAAGCCCCAATACCCTATTGTGGGAAAAACAAAAAAAATAACAGAGTACTAATCCATTTTCTTTTTCTTTTGTGAAAGTTAAAAAATTGACCACATTGCTCCCAGGAAGCAAACTCCAGTTCTATAACAAAAATCATCTTGGAACACTTAAAAATATCGAGTGGAGGCCATTAGATGTTGGATTGGAATATTTTTTTGGTCTTAATTAATGACGCAAAATTATAGTATATAAGGTGCTCATTAATTGGAGATAATGCATGTGCTGGGGAATTTCAATAATTATCAGAATAGTGTCATGCGGCCCAAATACAACTATAACTCATGCATGACGTTGGATTGGAGTCCAGACAAACAAAATTGATCGACACTCTCTCTCTCAATTGTTATATAGGGTACGCCTAACCACATGGCACATAGTTACACCTAAGTGTAATATATTAGATGACCCTTTTGAGAGTTTTAACTTTTTAAGGAAATATTTAATTATTATATTATTTTTTGGATTATTACACTGACACCCTTTAGCATCATGAAAAATAAGAATCCCACTTTAGAAGAAAGAGAGAACCAAGAAAAGATCAGCAATACTGTCGTGTAGGCAGAAATTAAAGAGTTTTGGGACTCAATGAGGGTATTTTTGTCCTTTACATTTGCTGATTTTTTTTTTTATAAAATATATTAAAAAAATTGAGGATAAAATTGTCATTTCGAACCTTTTTAACGATAAAAGTGACAAAAAAATGATAATAATTTTCAAAATGTGTTTACGTGTAAAATTTGACCAAATTTTTAGGGGTGTCATTAAAATTAATCCTTATTTTTTAAAAAAATTATTAGATTATTTTTTAAAATTTATATATATATATATATATATATATAATCAAGTTTGAAATTTTTAAAATTTTAATAGTATTTTATGAAATGATGTGAAATGAGTTATTTAAACTTTTTAAGTGGATAACTATTTTGATATAGTTAAAGAAAAAAAATGAATAATTAAATTAAAATGAAGGAAATACTAAAAATTATTAAATACCAAAAGAATTAATTATATTATTCTTTAAAAAATCGATAAAATTATATTACATCATTTCTTGACCTCCACTTTGAGTTTGATAGCAAATAAAGTTGCTTATCGTATATATTGTATGAACAAGATTTTATAGCATTGAAAACTTAATCTTATTGCGACAATTTCATGACATCTGAAGTAACCATCTTTCTTGGAGAAAAAAAAAAAGTAACCATCTTTCTTATATTAAATAATAAATAATAACATTCCTGTTTTTTCGAAGGTGCATTTATGTGTGTGCGGACTTTTCCAGATGGCAATTAATTTATAATTAAATAATGACATGCAAACTTGTTGATAGGTTGGGGAAATGTTTGGTTAGGGTCCATTAAATAAGATTTGTTTACCGAATGAAATTTTGATTCTCGCACAAATTTAGTTCAGAAGATTTTCTTTTTTTCTTTTTCTTTTTTTTTTCATAATTGAATATATGGAACAGGAAATTAGAATGAATAGTTTCATTAGCTTTGCATATCAAATCATTAAGAGCATCTCTAATAGCATATTAAAACACTCTTTTATAGCATGTTAAAATATTTTTTTGATGTAAAATATACACGGTCACGTATGATGTGAAATTTTTTTTTTTATCTCCACAAACGACTTTTTTACACAACCACATCACTCTTTCTTCTTTCTCATTCTATTAACCAATCAACCTTATATTAAATAAGTTTGTGGGATTCAGACATGACACTGGTTGGTTGTTATTAGAGATATATTTTTATACAAAAAATATAAAACAATTGTTGGAGCTAAAAATAAATAATTTAAATTTTTTGTATAAATTTATCCAGACAGGTCAGTTCTACACAAAATATATATATATATATACACATAAGGAGCAGTTTTATGAATGATTTTTTTTTATTATTGTTTATTGATAATATCAATAAGACAAATAAGTTTCCCCATTAGGGAAAAGGTCATTCCTCTTATTCTTGCGTTATATGACTAATGCTATATTTGGTATGAAAGAAAAAAATTAAATATAAAGGAGAGAAGAAAGGATGACTGAGACATCCTCTAAGAAAGAGATTAAGCATTTTTCCTTTTTTTTTTTGTTCGATTTGATAGAAAAAAATGAAAAAAATTGACAATTTAATTTGATCAAATAAATTTTTAAGCTATTTTTACTATTAAACTTATTTCTTATTTTTATTTATGAGATTTATTAAATATTTATGAATGATAATACAGTAATTTAAAACTTCTATAATAGGTTCACTTAGTTTCTCACTTATCTTTGGCCGGTATATTTGGCCTATTATCTTTTCTTTCTTTATATTATCTCTATCAAATAAAAAAAATTTGTTTATTTTTTTCTATTTTCCTACAACCTCTGCTTTTGTTTTTTCCTACCAAACATAGTGTAAAAGGAAAACTATTACTAAAACTTGCAATGAATTAGTCAGTTCAAATCAAACTTATGGAGGAGAAAAAAATAAAATAATCAATTTAATTGAAAATGGTAGACTCAATGCATAAAGCTAACGTTATTTCGAGATGTAGAAAGCATTAAATATACAGTCTTATTTTTGTATGTTGAGATGTGCTTTTCTTGTTTTGAACATCTGATTTCAGGTCACAATTACTCAATTATGACTGGGAGATTGAAACACTAACAAAAATAACCTCCAAATAAATCTCCGTATAATAAATCTTTTTCAAATCTCACAACGCAGTTTGCCACTTCAACCGATATTCATACAATTCAATTTTTTTTTTTTTCTTTTGTAAAAGTCAAGAAGTTTGACAAATTGCTTCCAATAAACAATCTCCACCAATCAGCAGTCATAATTGGAAAAATATCTAAGTGGAGCCCATCTAATATATGTTTATTCTAATATGGTTTTGGGGCGTAACTGACACAAAATTACAGTGAGATAAGCATTGAAACTCCAAGATATAGTCTCATTTGAAAATACTTGCTGTCGGTACGAAGGATGAAGTTTTATGATTGATTCTTTTTAGAGGTAAATAATTTTTTAAGAGTTAATCCGTAAATATAGTTTAAATTTTACTTGATTTATGTGAAAATACCTTACACGAATTTCGTAAATTAGTTAGAACGAAGTCTTAATGAGAAAATAATGCATGTTGCTTGAGAATTCCACAATTATCAGAATAATCCCATATGATCCCCATCGGTGCATAGATCAAAATAATCTGGCTGGCCTTGCTACATGTAACTATGACTTACGCATGACGTTGGGAGTCCAAAACAAACACAATTCATACTCTCTTTATTATATACCACTGGACCACGGCAACAAATTATGAAACAGAGAGCTAGAGCATCTTCTTAATTGTTGCTGACTCCTCTCTCTCTCTCAATTAATATATAAGGTGCACCTAATTACCTTATGGCAATGGCACAAAGTGAACCACAAGAACACCATTTGCTGTGATGTTATATTTCTATTTCAATTCTCACAACCATAATGTTTTTGTTTTTTGTCCGTACACACAAAGACTATTAAATGTTAAAGGTAATATATGGCCATCAAATGACCACATTTTTATACTCACCACCACCACCACATGTGTGTCTTTCACCATCACCAGCATACCATACCTGACTTGTTCTCAACCTAGCTAGTTCTCTTTCTCACACACCACAAACCCTCACTACTCTTCTTAACTCTTAAACAGTCTCTCTCTCTCTCTCACACACACACACATATCTGCCTTAAATAAAAAAAAGCCCGTCACTCCAATTCCATATTAACCAAGCTCCAAATAATGTCTCTTCAATGGTTAAGCTTGTTAGGTTGTATATGGCTTCAATCCATAAATGGGACCAACTCTAACTTCCCTGCATACTCATCTCAGCTGAAGCACCTCCTCCATATTTCCCAGCTCCAACTCAACAACCTCGCTTTTGCCTCCGACGCCGGGAAGCTCTTCGGCTGGTTCGCAGGCTTTGCAGCCATTCACTTGCCCCTCTGGGTTGTCCTAATGATTGGTTCATTACTAGGGTTCATTGGTTATGGAGTGCAATACCTCTTCCTAATAAACCAGCTCACTCTATCTTATGGCCATGTCTTGTTACTAACTGCTTTGGCTGGAAACAGCATTTGTTGGATTAACACAGTTTCTTACATTGTCACCATTCAAAACTTCCCGTTGGACCGGCAACTCGCCGTGGGGTTATCAACTAGCTATCAAGGATTAAGTGCTAAGATATATACAGCTATTGTCGATGCTCTATTTCTTTCTTCACCCATGGAAAAAGCCAAGGCCTATCTTCTCTTGAACTCCATTTCGCCTTTGATAGTTTGTGGTGTGACTTCACCAGTAGTTAAGAATATGAAAGTTGGGAAGTCGAAAAAAATAGAAGCTGGTTTCATTGTAATGTTTGTGATCACCATAGCCACAGGAACATTTGCGGTGGTCAGCAGTTTGGATTCGGGATCAAGTGGGCTGTCGCCGTTGAGGGTTGTTATAGTTTTGGCGTTGTTTCTAGTAGCTCCGGTTGTGATTCAGGTGGCCGAACAATTCATGGAAAGATTACAGAAGAAATGCTTGATTAGAAGGGAGGGAAGAGTGTGTGATTATAATATAGAAGAAGTTGATAGTGTGGAAAGAGTAGAGAATGGGGTGAAATTAGATGAAGAGGGTAACTTGGGTAGTAAGAATAGAGAAGCCCATGATCAGGGCAGTGTGATGGAGGAGATTGGAGTGAAGGTGATGCTGAAGAGGGTTGAATTTTGGTTGTATTTCTTTGTGTATCTTTTTGGTGCAACACTAGGGTTGGTGTTTCTCAATAACTTGGGACAAATAGCTGAGTCTCGTGGGTACTCCAAGACTTCTTATCTGGTCTCATTGTCGTCTTCATTTGGCTTCTTTGGTCGCCTCATCCCCTCTCTTGTGGACTACTTTTTGTCAAGGTACTCTCCTTCTCTTTCTCCCTCTAGCTTGACAAAGATGTCTTTTTTTTTTTTTTTTTGGATTAAGCAAACACACACCCATGCCTCTAGGTTCGAACCTCCGACCTCTCATTGGGAAGAAGGGTTTGTACAAGCTGGGCTATTGCCCATTTGGTAGTTGATACATTAAAGATGGAGTAGTTTTACTTTCAAAGCATCTCCAAGCTTACATCTCGAGAAGAAAGTGTAGCGCCTGATAATACTGTTCGATCACCTTATTCCAAGTATTGTCAGGGTGATGATTGAGGGGATGGTAGTTATCATTTTGACTCTATAGTTTTGTTTTTTTGTTTTTCTTACTATGTAATTTTGTTTTACTATTCATCATAGTAAAATCTTTGCGACTCCGTGAACATAGTTTAGGATAAAGTTGTGTTCTTACTTATGTTCTTATTTCCTTTTCTGTTAGATTTTGCAACACATCTATCAATTAAAAACGTGTCACGTTTTCACTTTTTCAACAACCAACAATGATGATATGACGTATTTTTAATTGTCGGATTCACTGTGTGTCAATTTTTTCTTTTTTTTGGATTATTATAAATAAATGGTGCTAATGATTCATATTTATCATTTAATGAAATTAAAGTCTTACAATTTTGAAAAAATGAAATTGACAAAAATGCTGATATGAACATAGAAAAACACTACTTACCCTCACTAAAGTACCACTTTTAGACACATATGTACCACTTTTTATGCACGGAAGTACCACTTTTTATACATCAGATATCACTTTTGTTTTGAGCATAGAGGTACTACTTTTATTCACATATGTACCACTTTTTTTGCATCAAGTATCACTTTTTGTGTTGCACAAAAGGTGGTACCTATGCGCCCAAAAGTGGTACCTCTTTGAGGGTAAACAGTATTTTTTTATGTCTTCATTTTTTCGAAACTATGAGATTTTGACTCTATCAAATGATAAATATGGGTCATTAACACCATTTGTATGTAATGATCTATTATTTATTTTTTTTTTTTTTTGAAACTATTAACCCTACAATTGTAACACTAGTGATCTTCATTTATTTCAGGAGTAAATATATGATCTCAAGACCAGCATCCATTGCAGCTATGATGGCCCCAATGTCAGGAGCATTCTTCTTGCTTCTCAGCAGAACCAACATGTCTCTCTACTTGGGTACCGCCATTATAGGTATATGTACTGGTGCTATAACTTCTCTCTCCATCTCCACAACCACAGAGCTATTTGGGATACAAAATTTCAGTGTGAATCACAACATTGTAGTGGCCAACATCCCAATAGGGTCTTTTCTATTTGGTGACTTGGCAGCTCTTCTTTACCGCAAAGAAAGTCATGAAAGAGATGGGAGATGCATGGGTGTGGAATGCTACCAAACAACTTTCATCATATGGGGCTCACTTTGTTTTCTTGGAACATTACTAGCTTTGGTCCTTCATGCAAGAACCAAGAAGTTTTACTCACATAGATTTTAAGCACATATAATAACATCACACCTTTTTTTTAATATATATATATATGTATATTATAAACGTGGGTTGAGAGGTGAAACGGGTATTTTTATACCCCTTGACTCGACACGTCTTAATCTGTAAGTCACGATTATCGAATAAATCTAAAAAAGCATGTAGAGGATAAACACATCTACTTATGAGATCGATGTGATATTAGATGGACTATTTTACCTCTTAATTACGATTGTAATTGCTTATACTTATAATAGGAGAAAGTGGTGTTGTTACGTTTTTGGTGCAAAAACATAGATGTAACACTTGAAGTAGACACTAATATATATAATATATGTATATACGTGTGTGAGGGAGAGAGATGTATTATTGTTGATGATTTTATATATTGGAGTAAGACGGATATTATAGCTTAGAAGAGGTCTTTATGCCATTCATTCTTCAGGTTCTTTTTTTTATTATTATTTTAAAATTTGGGTAGATATATCGGATGTTGTTTTGACAAGGCACAAAACAAAATTTGGGTAGATATAGGAGAGAAAAGAAAAGAAATGATAGTATTAATTAAGAGAGAAAATAAAAGATAATAATAATTTTTATTTGTGTTTGGATAAATAGGGGAGAAAAGAAAAGAAATGATAGTTATTCTTATTTGAATAAAATAGAGAGAAAAGCAATGAAAAGTTAGTGACCAAATTACTGTCCTACCCTTTCATAACCACTTCATACATTATTCATTTCCAAAATCTTATTTTTTTTTTATAGTTTAATGTCATGGGTAAAAATAAAAGTAAAAAATAAAAATAATACATTAAACGATAAAATCACAGTTATAGTACCCAAACTAACTTAAACTAACTTTTGGATACTAATTTAAGCACAACAAAAGAAATTAACAAAATGATTTCAAGAAATCAAATTCACAACACAGCTACCCTACTGAACATTAATCGTCAAATTCAATGAACAATTTTTTTATTTATTTAGAAAAGGTAACATCCAGAATTACAATATTATATATATAATATGTATGTATGATATATATATATATAGAAAATAAATCAAGAATACTTGAGTTCTTTCTTTAACTAATTTAGATCAAACAAAAGCACAAAGTCACTGGCATTGATATTCAAGAAACGAATTTATGGATGAGTGAATCCAATGGCGCATCAGAGAGAATAGTACTAACAGTAGAGTGGAGATGGAAGTCAATTGGGACATAAATGGAATTACATTTCAGTATGTTGATTTTTAAAGGGTATTGTTGGTATTAATAATTTATAACTTACTCCACTATCATTTCTCTTTCTATTTTCTCAAATTGGGAGAGAAAGTCAACGAGTGATAGGGAGGGATCCCTCTCTACCTCTCCCTTCTCTTTTCTATTCACTTAACCTACCTAAACACACTCTCACACTATCCTCCCTCCTCATTTTTCTTTTTCTTCTTCTTTTCTTTTCTTCTGTTGTGTGTTTTTTTTTTTTTTTCCTTCTCAAATCAACCCTTCCAAACGCACTCTAAGAGATAGAGATAAGTTAGATAACACCTAGGCCAATTGGCCAAACTTTGTGTCATGAAGTAGTAATTGGCATTGTCAAATCAGCCTGCTAATTGACATTCGAGTTAAGTGCCCAATTAGCTTATTGGTTTCTTCAAAAATAAGAGATAGTGACAGCACATATGATCTTTGTATGGTTTTGCTTGCACGGAACTAATATAAATACACTAAAATTATCATCTACTCTATGATGCAGGAGGAAGTACGCAATGTCCTGGTATTTACTGTGTAGTGTTCTCGGCAAAGTTAAAAATTCCTCATTTTTCGTGTCTAACGTAAATTGAGAGTTTTTATAATTGTGCATGATACCCTCAAGTATTACATATTTCCACATCAAGCAGCGACGCTAATATAGTTAAATGAGAAAGCGGGTATCACTTGTTAAATTAAGAGCAAGTCTATCGTGAGAGTGTTCTCACTAAATCCATACCTCAGAGTAGTCGAATTATGGTTCCAGATAATCTCCAAAAATATTTTTTTTTAGAAAAAAATAAAAAATACACAACACTAAGTAGCACATCATTCCTTGTATACCAGCACCTCTAACATCATTTTTTTGAAGTATACATTTCAAAGTGTCAATCATCATTCCTTGTGTACCAGCACCTCTAACATATACTTCAAAGTGTCAATTATCATTCCCTGTATGCCAGCACCTCTAACATCATTTCGTAAGTATACATTTCAAAGTGTGATAATTGAGAATATGTTATGGAAGTATATCATGAATGCGCTCTTATTGAGCTCATGCTTATGTAGTTAGTGCATTCATAAGTACTATTGAATTGGAATACTGTAATTTTTAGTCTCAGTTAAACGATTCTGCAAACGTGAATTGAATTTAAGGATGATTAATTAAGAAAAACAATAGCATCTGTATCACAACACTCAGTAGTACATCATTCTTCGTATACGACATTTTTTTCTTGATAACCGTTCATTTTGTACATGATTGTTTGATGTTAAATCAAAGTGTGATAACTTACCAACTCCAAGTCATTTGTCTAAGACCATGTGTCCGGATATTAGCTCCGCCAACCCACTTAACAATACGTTGTTGCTGAGGGTTGAAACCTTCCATAATTTTTTATACAGTGGAAGCATTATCACATAATATCAACACAAATATACATGAAAATAATAATTATACATATTCACGCAAACACAATATTTTACATGCTTTACCCAATTCTAAGGCTACGTCCATGGAGAGAGAGATTTCGCTATTATGAATTAAAGATGAGAATATACAACCAGATATCAAAACCCCACTCACTCACTTACTCACTTATCATCTCTTTTGACACTACATCTATATATACATTTCGGAATTACATATACTCTCCTATCTCCTCACAACACTCACCCTTAAACCCCTTGTATCTCTTCTCTCTTTTTCTATCTCTACACCACTGTGAACCATCTCTATTTACAACGTCTTCAAACCCAAATTCCTAATTAGACAAGTATTTCCCAACTTGCTTATAAGGAGTTACCATATCAGTTTTCAATTCTAAAATAGCAGTCTTTTGGCTTCCCTGTTCAACTGTTATAATCATTTCCAAGTGATTTTGACAAAACTTAAATTGGTTCCAAATAATTTGAACATGTTCACTTCTGCCAGAACAATACTTACACACCAAATTCGAACCACAAAATCCAACAATTTCCACCTTGGTTTGAATTCGGTCTTCACGAGCTCCTCCATAACTCCACCTCGAGTAAAGAACTCTTCATAACTCCACCTCAACTGAAGATCTCTCCACTTTAAACAAAACATTATCCATCATCCCCATTGTTGTTCAATTGTGCATGCTTGCGCGTGGCAACCCACCAATCAATCAACTCATCTTCATCAATTGTTTTTTTTGGCTCAAAACAGCAAAACTCTCTTTTTCACTCTTTATTATTCTTTATCGGGGCTTAGAAAAAACCTCGTCATTCCTCACACCATGCTCGTCCATCTTGAGAACTAGCACCCACACTCTGACTTGTCCCCAAAACTTGTTCCCCGTGAGCTTGTGTCTACAAACCTATCTCATACCTTCGTGTCATCAACTCTGAATCTCCAAAGCACCCACGATCAACCTTTTGCTCTAACAAACTTCACATCAATATTCTATTACTGATCTTCAAGACCAACCATAGGCCGGCTAATGTAGGACAAAAATCAGAACAGATAGACAAGCAGTTCGAAAAGTCCGTTTTTGACCACAGAGGAGTGGTTTTTGGTGGAAACTACCTTTTGAGAAAAACCCACTAACTTTAGCTTGTGGGCCATGCTGATTTTCAACTGAAAACCTTTGTTTAGAAATCCGAAATCGCATTTTATTGTATTACAAGAGGTGTGCCAATTATTTCGGGATTTTTATTTGAAGCCTTAAATGAGTCAGAATGCTCTGAGATTTTATATTTAATAGTTTTATTTGATTAGGTTTCTCTCTATTTTTTCATAATTTTTAGAGAGAATTTATTTTTAGACTTATTTCTAGGATTAGTTTTCTTGTGTTTTTAGTTTCCTTCTAGTATTAGGTTTTCTCCATTATAAATATTCATGTATTGCAAGAGTAGAATTTAACTTTTTATCAATAATATTTCAGAATTCTTTATGAATTTTCTTCTTGTTTGTCTATTCAAACTACCCTTCCTTGTGGATTCAAAGTAACCCTCGTTCCTTATGAATATTTATTGCTTTCCGCTACGTCAGTTAGTATCAAAGCCTTCATTTACCTTGGGGTGATGATGATTGCTCATTTTGGTAGCACCCACTTTGCCAACAATGATCGCAAAGTGAAGGCCCTTTAGGCAGCCATGCATACTCAAGATCAGTTCATAGCAATTGGTTTTGGAATTGGTGGCAACCATATTCATGGTTCAATTCAAGTTCGCTTTGATGATGTGTCTCGCAGTGAACCGAATATGGGTTATGTTCCCGTTTATCCGCGTAGGCCTCCAGCCTATATGGATTATTCCGAAGATAAAGAGTTCGGATTCAGTGATCGAACTAGATGCAACCATCGTGAATTTTAGGTAAAACTTGATCTACTTATTTTTTATGAAAGTATTATTATTGAAGAAGTCTTGGACTGACTTGAAGAAGTTGAAGAATTTTTTGAGTACTTTGAGATACCTGAAAATAAGTTGCCCTTAAATTGAAAGGATGGGCTTCAGCTTGGTGGGAACAAATATGCACTAACCGGAAGAGATAAGGAAAATAGCCTGTGCGGTTATGGTACAAGATGAAACAGCTATTGATGACTAATTTCTTACCGTCAAATTATGAGGAGTTGATGTTTCAAAAATATCAAAATTGTCGAAAAGAGAGTCCACCTGTCAAAAAGTCTACAAAGAAAATTTACAAAAAAGATAGTGGCACAAAGGGTAATAATATTTTTGTTAAGGTAACAAATGATATTATTGAGGCTGATCAAGTTCAAAATTATGTTGTTTCACCTATTATAGTTAAAGAAGATGAAGTCAAGGATGTGAAAACATTAGTTCCTTTGCACAAGTTGGTAGATGCAGAAAAGGACCTTAGCATGTCAAAAGAAGAAAATGGTGACAAGAAGTTCGATGCTAAAATTGAGCAATAAGAATTAATTGATCATCAGTGGGATAATAATTTTTCCAAATCAGACGTCCAAGATGGTATGGAAGAATTCGGGTTTCAAATTGATGAAGTGTCGATATTTGAGCAAATTATAAGTGAAGAAT